AAGTTAAAATGGCTGGGAAAGCAAACTTTGGGAAAGCAAACTTTGGGGACATTCTGAGCTTTTGATTGGTTATTCATGTCATATATAGAAGTAAGTGTATATAAGGGAGTGTTTCAAATAATGGAACGAGGTGAGCGGGGTACCACTGTATTTGATTTATTACATGAGTAATATCTTAGGAAAAAGATAAGAAGTTCTTATTTTATATTCTATCTTATCAATATTGGTAATCTGAGTTCCTAATTCGTACGAAACTATGGACTTAGTATTTTGACATCACAAACATCTAATTTGAACTAGTGCTCCATTCAACATTTCACGTGACACACAAAACTTGATGTTTAACTGTGCTTTTTTAATATTTACTTTTAAATTAAGAAATTGAGTAAGGTATAGTACTAAAATTTGAATTATAAACTACAGTTTGATACCAAACTTATTGACATAAATTCATGAAATAGTAGTTCAAGAAAATTTTGAATGTAAGTCAACAAATGCAATCACATGGCCTTTCACCCTTGATCCATCTGGAAAGGATTAAGAAGAGTTGTTATCAGCAACTTAAAAAAAGCTCACCAGCCATTAAGTGATAGCAGATATAAAGGTGTGAAAGAAGAGACAAGCCACAAAAAAAAATAAGATATTTTTTATAATAAATACCAAAAGATAATGAAATATAATATCATAAATGCTTTATTTTCCTATAAAATTTTTGTACTAAACAAGTATATTTACTTTCCAGTTTCCAACTGCCACTAGTAGGCAGTCTTTTATCAAAAAGTTGAAATAAAAATATATTATCTAACATTAAGCAACAAAGTCTCCAACTATTATTCAGCAGCAAGGTTTGTACATGACTAGCTGAGAAGTTAGTCTCACTTCCCATCAACTCTCAGCTGATTAACAAATTCAGTGATATAACAATCAACCAAATGTAACAATAGCTCATAATATATGTACTATTAGGAAAAGAGTAAAATAACAAAGTTCTGACTAAGATCTCCAAAATCATTTGACATACTGAAGCTAGTGCTTTGCCAAGGGCATCTCCAGTTTGGGAAGGTTGTTGGGCCCCTCGACTGACCAATTGGTCAGAAGTATGGATGGGGGCTTGCGATGTATTGTTTTGGCCATACAGTGGAGAAGCAGTTGCCTGAGACACTGTTGGACCTCGGTTGGACGGGCCATGAAAACTGGACATGGGCGGAAGAACTGGTGGCATGACTGGGTGGTCAGGGTTAGTGGCGACACCTTGATAACCCTAGAAAAAATTCCAATAGTTTTTGTTTTTAATTTATTTCTAATAATTTACAACAAATCTAAGTACAGAATAAGAGTATTCTCTATTATGTCTAATGTAAAGAATAAATATGTGCACTGATTATGTTTAACTATCATAAAAACTTTTTTTTCATCTTTATTTGCTATTTATTTAGCATTAATAATAACTAATATTTTAAACTGATAATATGCAATTTAGAACATCAAATTGTTGGATAATCTACTTCAAATATTGTCACATTTAAATATAATAACAATGAACAGCAGTACAATACAAAAACTTCTAAGCGTTGATTATATTACTATGGGAAAAATATAAGGTTAAAACCTTATGAAACAATCAATAAATAAATGTTTTTGTGCCGCATACGTCTAAAACATAAGGTAAATCCATTTAGAGAACATATAAATTATAAAAACACCTTAGTTACAGTACATTATATGCATTAGTAAATAACACAAACAATATGATTAAATCAAAAGTATGATTTCTTAATTTAATACATTACGAAACTGATTCATCAACTAAATATGTACTATAAGAGGTGTTTTATTTATCAGATTTTACAACTTCTCTGAAATCAAAACTTGGTATATAAGTAGTAAAACATAATACATACAAATTAGTGAATATAAAAACCATCAATGTTCTACACTGTTAAGAAACTGTATGAGTGAGAGATCAACATTTCAACAAAAATATTGTAAAAATAAGTTTCTTGCCATACTTTGATAGAAAATAACAATCAAATATTTATACACAATATTTACTATTTGATACATACAATTAGTTTTTATTTAATAAGTTTCTATATGAGATGATATTCTTATTTAGTGATTATAATCTTATTTTATAAAAATTATTTCTGTTTCACCATTATGGTAACAACATAAATCTAAGTCAAAATCAAATTTCAGGAGCAGTAGTTACCATTGGTTCTGATGGAAGATGCATGGTTGAGAAGGCAGATGATGTGGAAGGGAGACTGGAACCTGTGTTGGCCATCGCTGCTGTTGTGTAAGAGTATGATGATGAATGCAAATTAGCACTTGATGACCAAGGGTCAGCAACACCATGAGAAGCCTCTGTAATAAAAAATTAATTTAAAAATATAAGGTCATTTAGTGGTATTTAAACAGGATGCATACATTACTAAATCTTATAACACTGTGTGGATAGTTGAATAGAGACATAAAATTCCAATTTGAAAAAACTGCTTACATAATCATTGGTTAACATTATTTGTCTCTGAAAGTGATTAATTTGACTATCACTTTAAATGAATCTAACTAGCTAATGTCAGATAATTTTCAGAAAAGTTCAATTATAGTGGCATCTAATGTCTAACCCTATCTACAAATTTAATATGATGATGCACAATAATGAAGCATGGGTACTTTTTTCGCATATCTTTCCTTGTGTAAATGAACTAACTCAGAAAAAGAAAATTGTAGTTTTTTGTTGATTGGAGAGAATCCACACACACAGAAAATATTTTTCAAGTTTCCTTTAGCAATTCCACTTTTGACTTAAACAGTACTCAAAAGCACTTTACAATGCCCTTGAAGTTTTAAACTAGAACTAAATGGTGATGAGAGACAGGATAAACTAAATGCAAAAAGAATAAGAGGCAGTGAAAAATTTAGCATAGGAAATAAGTATACAAGTAGTTATAAGGGTAGGCTTAATTTTTATTACTATAATGCTAGAAGTATAAGAAATAAAATAGATGACTTTAGAGTACTGGTAGCAATGGAGGATTTTGATATAATGGGAATAACTGAAACATGGTTTTGATGACACAAATTTCTTTGAAATATAGGGTTACAGGCTATTTAATAGGGCTAGAGTACTAAAGAGAGGGGGAGGAGTGACTTTATAGGTAGAATGTGAGTTACATCCTGTTGAAGTTGAGGATATCAAAGATAATAGCAAAGAGATTGAATCCATTTGGGTTTCTATTAATAGATATAAATGGAAAAGGCTTTTAGTGGGAATTTATTACAGACCAACAGATGATAATGATGAAATTAAAGAGAAACTTTACAATGAAATTAAGATTTTGGCTGTTAATGAAGTCATAATTATGGGTGATTTTAATTTCAGGCATATAGATTGGGAAATGCTAGAGTCAAACTGTGAGGGAGAAAGGTTTTTGGAAACTGTTTAAGATGGCTTTTCTCACCAATTAGTCAAGGAACCAACTAGAAACAATAATATTTCAGATTTCTTGTTAACTTCAAACACAGAAATGATAGAGAGGGTGGAAAATTGGGAACATCTGGGTGCAAGTTATCATTGTACTATTAGATGCAATCTTTCGCTGTATATGGAGATAAGAAATGATGACGACGTTTTGGTTACAAATTAAAAAAAAAGAAGCAAATTTTGAAGGGATACAACAATAATTATCTGTTGTGAATTGTGCAGCTGAGTTATTTGGATACACTGATCAAATGTCGAAAATGTTTAAAGATAAAGTTTTAAATATTCAAGGTAAACATATTCCTCATAGAAAGAAAAGGGTAACTGCAAGTAAAAAACCAAGTTAGCTCACAAAGAGTATAATATATAAAATTAAAGAAAAGCATCATAAATTTAAGAAATTTAAATTGAATGGTATAACAGGAGATTTAGAAGATCAAGAACATTGGTGTAACAGGAAATTAGGATATCAAAATGGATGTATGAGAAAAGGTTGGTTGAAAATGTAAAAATTAACAGTAAGGATTTCTTTAAATACATTAAAGGTAAACAAAATGTTAGGATGGGGGGTAGGACCTTTGAAGGACAATAAAGAAAAGCTAATATCTGATAATTATGAGGTGGCTGGGTTATTAAATTTTGTTTTTTCTTCAGTTTTTACTAACAAAGATTTAAGCAATATTCTACATCTTGAACAGTTGATAGATGGAAACAAGATTGAAAAAGATGACTGCATTAATTCTAAGCTAGTTAAGAATAAAATTGGGAAGTTTAAAGAACAATCTAGCTCCTGAGCTAGATATTTCCCCATGGGTTTTGAAGAAGGTAAAGGATTGGATATGCCAGCCACATGCTACTTATTTTTTTTTTTTTTTCGTAAGTCCTTGAATAGTGGGAAAGGTACCACAGGATTGGAAGTTAGTTAATGTCACTCCTTTTTCAAGGGAGGTGATAAAAATTATCCCAGTAATTATAGGTCCATTAGTCTTACATCAGTTGTGGGAAAAGTTCTGTAAAGTCTGATAAAAGATGCTTTGCAAAGTCATTTAACAAAGTTCAGAATTTTATTGGATAGTCAACATGATATCACTAAGGGAAAATTTTGCTTTACAAATATTTTAACATTTTTTGAAAATGTTACTGCTTATGTAGATGAGAGTAAGGGTGTAGATTTGGTGTATCTGGATTTTCAGAAAGCATTTGACAAGGAACCACATACATGTTTGCAAAAAAAAATTATCTGTATAGGTGTGGGGGATAAGTTAGCAAATTGGATAGAAGAGTGGTTGGATTGAAGAAAGAAGGGGATTGTTACAAATGGAGTTCAGTCAAACTGGATTAATGTTACAAGTAGGGTACCACAGGGCTCAGTATTAGGACCTTTGCTCTTTTTTGATTTACATCAGTGACACAGATGAAGGAATGGTGAATAAATTACTTAAATTTGCAGATGACATTAAGGTCTTGGGTGTTGCTAACTGTGAAGAAGATGCTGCTGATTTACAAAAGGATTTAGTGAGTTGGGCAAATAAATGGCAGATGGGTTTTAATTATAATGAATGCAAGATAATACATGTGGGTTATCATAATTTGATATATCAATATATGGATGGGAATAACCTTAACAGTGCCATGAAAGAAAGGGATCTTGGTTGATCAGTCTCTTAAGCCATCCAAGCAGTGTGCTATTGCTAGTGGTAGGGCAAATAGCATTTTAGGTTGTATCTACAGAAATATTGAATACAAGTCTAAAGATGTTATAATTTTATTGTATAGGTCACTGGTCAGGCCACATTTGGAATATTGTTTTCAAACTTGGGCTCCTTACCTTAGAAAGGACACTGAATTGTTGGAAAGGGTTCAGAGGAGGGATACTAGAATGATGCCTGGGATGGAGGGGTTGTCATATGAGGAGAGGCTGAAATCTCTCAAATTGTTTTCTCTTGAAAAAAAATTGAGTTAGAGGAGATATGATTGAAGTGTTTAAGATTGTAAAGGAAATTGATAATGTTGATGCATCGTGTTTTTTGTATTTAATGGTGAAAACAGTAAGACTAGCTAAGACAGTTTAATTTTTCTAACAGGGTGGTTGCCTTCGGATGTTGTGGAGGCAGTAAATTTAAGCGAGTTTAAGAGAAAGCTTGGTAAGTATACGAGATGAGTGTTAAGGGCTGGCTTTAAGATATTTTTTATATATATATAATAATTTTAGTTTGGTTTAGAGGATGGGATAGCCTAGATGGACCAACAGGTCCCATGTTGTCCCAAAACATTATGTTATGATTTCATCAATCATCCATGTACACAAATACATATCATTTTTTAATTTATTGCTCAGATAGTATGTAATAACATGATTCTATTCAGACAAAGATACTTTCTTCTTTTAGTTAGCAAGATGTGCCAAAATTTCTAATCAGCCATTAGAATAGAGTAATAACTCACTTTTTAATTTTAATAATTCAGTGAGTTGAGTTTTCTTAAAAGTAAAAATACACCACTCAATGCTCTCTGTATTTCTGAGAGAGATAGAGAGAAAAAAAAAACCCTACAAAATACAAATATTATATGATTTCTACACTAATCAAGAACCAAAAATATGATGTACAACCTCCTTTAAATCATTTATGAAGCATATTTAGCTACTGTTTTTTGGTATATCTCATCCATATTAAAAAACACTTGAGTCAAAGTAAAATATACAATAACTATTGCAAATATTTTACAACCAATAGAAAACCAACATATCTATACTATTTGGACAACTGGAGTAGACTATGAGAAATATTTGATTGTTTTAGTCAGATATAGAAATAACAAACTTTATTGACAAAGTATAAATCTTTGAAAAGTTTAATTCTTCAATGTTTCAAGTGCTCCAGTAGGTCAGTGATATGTCTGAGTGAATTATAATATTGAAAATTAGATTTCAATCCCTATGGTAAGAACAGCACAGATAGTCCATTGTGTAACTTTGCTTTTAACAACAAATAAGCTAGTGTTTAAACAAAAAATGTTTGGGCATAATAATAATAATATAATAAAAAAAAAGAGGCAAATATTATAACCCAAAGGTATTTTTAAGAACTGTACTTAAAGGAGAGGACTTACTAAGATACAAGCAATAGCTTAGGAGTTAATAGATTTTTCTATATAGTTTTTAAGAAACATTTCATCATACAAACATAGAAACAATTGTTGATAAATTGCATTGAAAAAATAAGACAAAGAAAACTTCAATGAAAATGCATGATCTAAAAGCATTGTTTACCCATGAAATATGAATCCCCACAAAGGCCCGGTTTAGGTGAGGTATACCTAGGTATGTCTTCTTCACATCCAGCTCCTCCATATTGCTAGATTTAAAAAAAACATCTTTTTGTAATCATTATGTAAGCTATTTTGGAATTACATTTATATTAACTAAACCTCACTAAGTTTCTAAAGCTCCAAATATTATAGCAGAGACCCTTTTCAGGTGATAACAATTTCACTACCCAGGTTGTGTACAGAAGATTCTTGACTTTCATCAGGCTGATTTGTAGTTGAAAAATCTTTTTTGGAAGAGTTAGGTAGTTAAATATTACAAAACTGACTCAATTGGAGCAATAAGTAAAAAATATGAAACTAAACATATAATAAGATGTGTATTTATATATATATATCTAACACAAACATTAACAGTCATTAACAACCAATCAAACAACACTTAATAAGTAATTAACCTCATAACCAGTTAAGTGGATGAAATACCATGTTACTTGGAATTAGTAACTTTGAAATTTATTAAATTTCTTATAATATATTTTTCAATGCTATAACTTATTATGTTCTTAAAAGTGATCTTAAGCAATTACCAATGTAACTAATATTTCATAAAAACAAACATACAGCAACACATATGGAAAGTAAATAAAGACAAAGTTCTCAAAACCAAGCCTTAGAGATTTCTGCAAGGCCAATTTAATAAAACAAGTGAAGACAACTACTAACCATGTCCTAGCTTGGCAGAATAAGGAAACTTTCACTGCATATAATCTATATAAATAGCCTGTCATTCATCCAAAGTTCCAATCATTTACTAGTCACTTAACAACCAGTTTTTATATTTAGTTAACATCAAGACCATACCTAAGAATGTCCACACCGTGTATTGTTTCTACAATGTCTGGTAGTCACTGGCAGAAGGAAACTAACACATTCTTCTTATAAATGCCACAGTTATTACTCAAATAAGAATAAGTTTTATAATTTAACAGAAATACTTTTCTTCTCACCCTCTAAAAAAAAGGCTGGCTATTTCTCTAACAGTTAATTTCTGAAAATATAATTGAAAAGATATTTGGATTCCTCAGTTATTATAATGATAATGTTTGGCTTTACTCAATAAACTAATGTTTTTTTGGCTAGTCCATGAAATTACTATGCAAATAATAAAATAGACAAGAATATAATATATTTTCTATGCTATTATTACTGTAATTCTAAAATTTGTCATTAGTTTTTATATTATTTTTCATGATTTCTAAGTCGTTTCTTAATGTTCAAGGCCCGGCATGGCCAGGTGGTTAGGGTGATCGACTCGCAATCTGCGGGTCACGGGTTCGAATCCTTGTCACACCAAACATGCTCATCCTTTCAGCTATTGGGGCGTTATAACGTGATGGTCAATCCCACTATTCATTGG